GCTTGTTAACAACAAGTCAAATCAGACTTGTTGGAACAACCTTGTTACAAGTTGTTGTGGTCATCAAGTTGTGACAAGTCTGTTCCAACAACCTTGTAACAAGGCCGTGTTTAACAAGCTTGTACCAAGTCTGCCAACAGCTTGTAACGGCATTGTTAATATCAGGCAACATGTATCAAGAAAAAACCCATTTTTTGGATGATTTTCGAATTGTATACATTTGCATTTCCTCTTCCTTTTTTTTTGGCATAATTTTCAATATCCCGAAATATGTGAACAGTCACAAAATGGCAACAAATAAACAAAGGATTTGAGTCAAACTCTTCACATCCAAATTTATACATAAATTTATTATAACTTCATGCTGTAAAAACGTAACAATAAAAATTACTTTAATTGATTTATAAAACTTGTACAAATCCTTATATAAGGAGTGGCTTGCCCTCAATCATTATGAACAACAACCATAATTATTAATAAATAAAGTGAACTGCAAATAATACTTAAAGGGGAAGTCAAGTCCGTAATGTAAACAAACGGTTTGTTTACATTTTGAACTGCTCTATTTTTTAAAATATGATGTACAGTCTGAATATCTCATAAATGTCCAATACTGACGATCGGTATCCGATCGACAAAGCAGTCTTACAGACGGTACGGATGGATCCACCGGACAATCTTGTTTACCGTCGGACAATATTTTACCGATGGCTGCCCAAAAGCAAATAAACGCCTGCTGCGCAGATCACTGCGTGAGTGTCTCGGGTTGCACTGCAAGTTCATTGTGCGATGTGTGAATGTGGAATGGTCCGATCGATCGATCCGATCCATCGGACAAACGTTTTCGCGGTCCGACAATTATTTTACCGATGGCAAAAAGTGACGCCAAAGAAACAAGTATATGTTCTATATTCCCTTGTTCTTTACAATAATCTTCGTCTTTAAAAACATAATTTTACATGCCAAACAACCTTAGTACATGAATTATAACTCGAATTATAACATCAAACTGAGTTATTATAATATATATTCCAATGAAGCTCAGAACACGAATGATTTTAAATACATGATGTTGCGTCGTTCTTTACAAACCTTATCATGATATTACATGCAAATTAAACAACCGTAGTACATGAATTATAACATCAAACTGAATTATTATAATATATATGCCAATCAAACTAAGAACACGAATGATTTTAAATACATGATGTTGCGTCGTTCTTTAGAAACCTTATCATAATATTATATACATGCCAAACAACCTTAGTACATGAATTATAACTTCAAACTGAATTATTATAATATATATTCCAATGAAGCTCAGAACACGAATGATTTTAAATACATGATGTTCCGTCGTTCTTTAGAAACTTTATAATATTACATGCCAAACAACCTTAGTGCATGAATTATAACATCAAACTGCATTATTATAATATATGCCAATCAAGCTCAGAACACGAATGGTTTTAAATACATGATGTTGCGTCGTTCTTTAGAAACCTTATCATGATATTACACGCCAAACAACCTATAGTACATGAATTATAACATCAAACTGAATTATTATAATATATATTCCAATGAAGCTCAGAACACAAATGATTTTAAATACAAGATGTTCCGTCGTTCTTTAGAAACCTTAATTATCATGATATTACATGCCAAACAACCTTAGTGCATGAATTATAACTTCAAACTGAATTATTATAATATATATGCCAATCAAGCTCAGAACACGAATGATTTTAAATACATGATGTTGCGTCGTTCTTTAGAAACCTTATCATGATATTACATGCCAAACAACCTTAGCAGCCTACATGAATTATAACATCAAACTGAAGCTCAGAACACGAATGATTTTAAATACATGATGTTGCGTCGTTCTTTAGAAACCTTATCATGATTTCACATGCCAAACAACCTTAGTACATGAATTACAACATCAAACTGAATTATTATAATATATGCCAATCAAGCTCAGAACACGAATGATTTTAAATACATGATGTTCCTTCGTTCTTTAGAAACCTTATCATCATTTTACATGCCAAACAACCTTAGTACATAAATTATAACGTAGCTAGGTTTACACATAACTAAAAGTAAACGTTGTCTGTCTAAGATTTTTATTTAAACGACCTTTCGCGACTACCTAACTGTAGTCTCGGGCGGGTAAAGCGGAATGAATTAATTACAAGCGTGCATGTGTCAGGTGATGTTATAACAATAAGTGATTGGTGTGATAATTATAGCGTCTAGCCATGACATTTTTGATTAACCACCATAGCACTGTATATTGTTTAGGAAGCGACTTACAATTATTTTCATAATTTATTATTATAGCAGTATGCCAAGATTCTAGTAATGTTTTACGTGTCCGATACTTGCCACTATCAATTACTTTCCAATTATAGTCTAGGACCTGTATATGAGTTTGTATGCGATTCATTTAGGACAGGTAATCTCAACTGTTTTAGGGTAAAATGACTATGGCGGTCAACATGGCATATGTGCGAAAACCTGAATCCGGGACGAAAGTCCTGAAAATGACCCCGCCCTGAAACGGCAGTGTCGACATAGCTCTAACTTCCGAAAAGGAAAAGCGATAGCCTTTCTGAAGTGCTTATAGTGTTTAGAAGAGTTGCTTTTAGGGGTGGTCATTGGAAGGAAAAATTTGTCGAAGTATAATATTTTACCAGAAAATGACTATGCACCACCCCAGGTAAATTGCTGATTATGCACAAAATAACTAATATGCCTGGCAGAAATTAAATATTCTTATTTCCTAAAAAAAATTATCATGGGATGACTATGCTTAATTTAATATAAATATTGTTGATTTCATAAGGATTGTCATTGTTTTATTTAAATATAATACATTTTATTTCACTTAGCCCCCACGAAAACACGATTTCAGCCATATTTTGCCGTCTTGTTTGCTTTTTATCGCCGAATCTCGCAAATAAACTAAATACATTGTATTTATTGTATTTTTATGATTTATGACAAAACTACGCAAATATTTATTGTTTTTATTATAAATCATAAAAATACAATAAATACAATATATTTAGTTATGTTTCTGTGGTGGCGAACATATTCGTGAAAATATTCAACCCCCCTGTCATGTGTCCACGAGAAGTTTTCGCGAAGATTGCGCTTGACTTTCAAATGATTTGTTTTTTATTTTGAACCTAAATTGTATACGGGAGGATTTTTCCTTTCTAATGGGACAAATGTTGCCAATTTTTGGATATATTGGGACTATTCTACAATGAAGTACTCTTGGATACTGTAATCTAAATATATATGGAAACGAAGAAGTTGCATTTATCAGACAGAGAAGCGGCGAGCCATTAAAATG